TTGTGCTTCTGGTCGAGGGAATGCCTTGAATCTGAGGAGATACGACAAAGGGGTTCTTTCAAGCGGTTTACGCGCAAACTTTTGTCTTCTGAGGGTTAAACTGGAATAGATTTAGTCGCCCCCAATCTGAGACTTCGTTCTGCAAAGACTCGACTTCAGACACAAGTTTGTCCTGGTACTCAGATAAGTTTTCTCGGGAAATTTTGGCGAGGACGGCGTACAGAGCATCACCAGTGCTGTCATCTGCATAGCAATGCATGTTGCAGGCTTGCAACATGTCACTGATATGTAGAAGAAACAGCGTTGTTGATAGCACGCAGCCTTGTGGAACACCATCATTAATAGGCTTGTAATAAGAGATTGTACTGTCTACAACGACCTTGATGCTCCGATCTGCAAGAAAGCTGGTGATCCAATTTCACAATTTCTCGGGAAGCCCGTAGGAAGGGAGCTTCGAAAGAAGCGCTTTGTGCCAAACCCGATCGAGGGCCTTCGCAATGTCCAAACTAACGGCCAATGCCTCCCCCTTGGGCTCTACTGCCACCGCCTATCTATGAGTCAGGTAGACCAGAAGATCACCAACTGATCAACCATGACGAAAACCGTATTGGCGATCACCAAACAGCTGTTGATTCTCAAAGTACCTCACGAGCTGGCAGTTTACAATGGATTCCATTATTTTGGAGAACAAAGAGGTGATGGCGATGGACCTGTAGCTGGCTGTTGTAGAGCGACTTTGCGGAGTTCATGGATCCTCTGTTGTATCCCGTCAGGGTTCCAATAGAGGAGGTGCAGGTTACTCCCCGCCGTAATGCCGAGCCAGTAGTGTTGCCAGTTCCTTCATTACGGCGGTTAATGAGTCTGTCCCGGCTCTTACGTCAGCCAGGACCTGGCTGCCGACCTCAGTAGCGATGCCCACCAACCTCTGGATGGCATCAGCTGTCTCGTGGCTAGTTAATGGTAGTCTTGTGGATGTTGGTACTGGTCTAGGGGCTTTGGTTTCCATTATCTTTAAATTCAAGTTCAAATTCAAATTCATTTATTCGACGGAGTGTATGTGTGCAATAAAGTATGATCTTAAATTATATCTAATGGCCCATTTACATTCTACCACTTTATATGTTGTGCAAATATTTTATAGGTATACATGCAAAAAAAATTTAAGCAAGTGGGAATTCAATTTAGTACATTTATGATTAATTGATGTCAATATCATGTCATTTAAGTAATAAGTTTTAAAATGTCACGTTGTGTAATGATTGCTCTTAATTGTTAATGTCCAAACTTTTAGTTTATTCGTAATTAATTAATTATTAGATATATATCAATATTACTGACTTCAGATTTATTTTCCACAAAAAGACATAAATTCATTTAGTTTGTAAAAACATTTTTCTTTTAACCAATGTATCAACTATTTTTAAACATGGTTAAAGTTAACTCTTTAAAGTCGTTGGGTATTTTGTTATACACCTTTATAGCATTTACGTAAGAGTTCCTTTAATACAACTTCAACCTGCATTAAGGTAAATATAATTTACGTTTATTTCTAGGAGCTATATTTCGTTCAGTTACATCTATATGCCTTTCAAAGTATTCAGGATGTTGTTTTACAAATATGGATATTTATTTAATGTACAAGCATGTTAATGTCAAGACATTGTACTTTTTAAACAAGGGCTTACAGCTATCCGTATACTCTGCTCCACAGATTGCACGCACACATTTTTTTGTACTCTAAATACTTTTATTATATCTACTGAATTGCCTCACAATAAAAGACCATATGATAGTACTGACGAAACATATCCGTGATATGCACATAGATCAGCATCAGTTGATACAGTTGATTCTACTAATAGAACGCACTCTATGTGTAGAGCGGGTCCCATTTTCTGATAGAGCAATCGGCGGTCTGGCAGGTGGTGGCGCTCACGGAGGGTTTACGGCCAGTGTGCCTATTTGCCTAAACCGTGTGACGTACATTCACTGTGGCCGGATTCGTTCGTATTCTGTTTGGCGTTAACACACATTGACATGCGCGACTTCGATCGACGTTTGTGCTTACGCACTAACAAGGGGCCAAGCCTCTTTTAATGGTTCGCCAGTTATTTTGCTGTGGACTACGGTCCAGTTCCCGAATTAGCGTTCCCTTTGGGGGGAGTGCATCAAAATGGTTGGCGCTCACCCGCACGGCGTGTATGGAGCCGTGTGCCTCCCCTACATTTTTTTACATAAATGTAGGAGAGCGAAGCCCTTGTATCGGGTATTTTGTATAAATATATTGGGAGCCTTTTCCAAGCGGGAACGGAAAAATAATAATAAATTAAATGAAAACCTGATACAAGTGGAATAAGAACGTTTTATGTTCTTAACCTTTCTACGCACTACCAACAGCTTTCAACTGCTCTAGCGAATATTCATTCTTCCAAAAGACATCTAAAAGAACTAAGTTACTACACAAACACAACGTAAATAAGGGTCCTAACTAAGACGATGACGCCAAAAATATTACAACGGCCAATTATTAAACCTTTAGGAAGATCTTTTAGAAAGATCAAAACATATTTATTTATCCTGGTCACATATATGTAATTTTATTGAAAAGGGGTAAATCAATTATATTTAATATAATATTATTTATATAGAGAGAGCGTTACAAGGGCTTAGTACAAATACTACCTCTCTTTTTAATATAAATTCACTTTTTGTTACATTTGGTATTTTATACAATCCACTTGTAGATTTGAAATGAAAAAGTAAAGACGTAAGATAGCAATAAAAAAGGTCGTATTGAAATAAGAAATATAATCATCAACTATATTTCATGCACTTACTTACTTGCGTTATACAAGAATTTTATTTCATGATAAGATCTAAACACGCATGTAATCAAGAATAGCATTCTCATCAAAAATGCATTAGTGTTACTAAGGCCTGGGTCATTTGAGCATAACAATGAAAAAGTTTGTGCACGTAATAAGCTTTTGTTGATGAAGTATATAATTAATTCCTTTTGTGTGTTCTCTAACAAAAACTAAAATCTAATTTAAAATTTTATGGAAATATAACCTGTTACTTTTACAGAAAAAAATTTAATATTTAAAACAGTATCATTTCGGGATGAGATTATTCTGTTATAAGAGTCACGAGATTTGTATAGCTCATACGTTAGTCGATAATTGCAATACGGAATGAGATAGCAAAATTAATTTTAAATGTCGCTATTATAGTGCCATTAATTAATATTCTTTTTGTAAATATTTGCCTCATTTAATTTATTAATTTATGTTCTTTATTGCACACTACACACAACCTAGTACAGGGTGATATCTGGTGATACCAGGTCCAACTATGGCTAAAATAATTTTTATATATTAGATTAGGTGGCGTCATCGTAAAACAGCGATCTCTTCCAGTTTTTTTCTTTTTTTTTTTATAGGATAGGGTGACAAACGAGCATACAGTCCACCTGATGGTAAGTGGTTGCTGCGGCCCATAGACATCTACATCTATCTTCCATTACAAATCAAAATGCAGATGCGTTGTCACCCGTGAGGACTGAGATGGAATGCCTCATTTCCAGTAAAAAGGGTCTCCGGTTCTCTACACTCACCATACGAAATACAGCAGCATTAAGCTACTATTTCACGCTGGTATTCTGTGAGAGCGTGGTCCTTCCCCGGTCGAGCCGACCCATTCGTGCTACAACTATACTACTAATATAATTGCAGCATGGCTCTACCACGTAAAAGTCCAGTTAAACCTTGGTGAAGGAGATAAATTCCATTTAAACATATTATGTATATAGAAGCGTGTTTAAATAGTATATAAACAAGTTTATTAATATATATATATATATATATATATATATATATATATATATATATATATATATATATATATATATATATATATATATATGAGTTGATAAATATCAATAGTCAATATGTACTTGATAAGTTAATAATAGGTAGACCCAAATATAGATACAAACTACGTTAAAACATAGACCATGACGTTTAATTTAGCTTATTTTATCCGCGATGACAGAGAAATATAACGAATAACGTTCAAACTACATTAAAATTGTTAAAACTAGTTTGGACCTATCAGATTATGAACTAAAACAATGGACGTATCTGTTTTTGAAAAAAAAAATCAAGACTGGACATAATAGAATTAGATTAGAAATACCGATGATGCTACAATGGCGCCACGGCTTAGGGTTGCCACCGAAGACTTACTGGGGATTAAGGATTTAAACAGTTTTTTAACCTACCATATGCTTGATTTTGACTGCAATCTTTTCTACTAGGTACGTCTTCTATTTAATAAAAAAATGTTTAGTTGTTATCGCAAGTTTAATTAGGTATTTAAATGGTTAAAATCACAATAAATCAGTCTCAAAAATACCACGAATTTAAAAAAAAATTTTACCGACTTCTCATCATCAAATTCCAACTTTCCTGTAGTGGACTATTATTTTAGTTATCCACTTTCCCACCAAAATAATCATCAAAATTGTTTCAGAAAAAATATGATTAACTAAATAAGATAAATTAAACAAAATCAGTTATTTCCTCATTTTCTACATCTCCGGGATCTACTACACTTTCATTTTCTGGATCACGAAATCTTCGCAATCCCGCCATTCATCTCCATAATGTTTTCTCAAGAGATTATTGACATTATTTATTTAACGGGAACTCCGACTGGTATAGTAATCAACCTTAGTTCATTAAGTCTCTTTCCCCGTTTGGTTAAAGACTTACTATTGCAAATGTTATTTTTATAAGACACTTCTCCGCGAACATATACATTGCGATTATTTTTGTGACACACAATTCTTTTGCATTTACTTGTTTGAAAATGCCAATTTTGAGTACTTTTGAGAAATTCTTTGCTTTTGTCTTTCCAGTCATATATAGGTATTTCCGATGCCAGTTTATAAATATTTGCGTGTTCACTAATAATTATTTCGTAATCACTCGGTTTAATTATATTCTCTCTTTTTTTATCTTTCTTTCGTTCAATGGGAATACTCTGTTAGCCGGCAAGAAAGAGTGTCCTGTGACGGGAAATATTATTTCAACTTGCTTTATATTAGTGGTTGTTTCTAGAAGCCATTTCATAACCATACTTATAATCATAGAATTTTTATTCTGACCACCACATCCGTCGGACATTAGTCTTATTCTGTCAATTCCAGTCATGTCTAATGAATTCATACAGTGATATAGTGCGGAACAGATTTCATTAGAGCCTTTAGCTGTTTCATCTTCAGTCCAAATATACGCATGAATGTTATTGGTGGTCATGGATGCGCGTGAATTGCCGATGACAATTGTAAAATTGTATAAATACAGTTGTCTTGAATAATATGTCGACTGGTCTGGTATTTTAGGCAGTGGAAGATTTTTTTCACAATCAAATGAAATTATAAGTAGGCCAGGAAGGTCCTCTTGTAACATTTTATAAAACTGTTTCGCTCTCAGATTGTGGATTCTATGCTGTGTCATAAGTTCTGGTTTTCTAGGTTGCGAAGGCTCAACTTTAATTTTTTCAGTCAGTTGAAGACATACAGAACACACGTCTGTTCTCGGGCTACCAAAGCAAATATTAAACCTAGTGTTAACTATTTTTCTGAAAAAACCCTGTTTCACACCAAAACCAGGCGAAGCCTGATCCTCGTACATTTTGAACATTTTTTTGATGTTCAAGTCAGGATGAAGGTACTGGCGCACCTTTATCTGATCCCTGCAATAGTGGCTTTCCAAAGGAGTAAAACTTTTAATAAATTTTTCAACTGATTTTCTTCTAGAGGCAAATATAAAATGTTTTCTATCTCCTCCTCTGTTTTCTTTGGCTATACTACCAGTTTGGTAATGCCTTTTTGCTACTCCATCAACTCTAGGGGACTTCAACGCGACGCCTGCAGAAATGTTTTTTTGCATACTGGAACAGGTTCCTTTGTTTTATATTTTGAGATATAAAATTTTGTCGTGAATAATCTAGGATTTTTACTCCCCTTTCTAGGGCTAAAACGTTTTACTTTTGTGACAACTGTGCACTTAATTATGTAATTGTCTTGTTCGATTTTAGAAACATTATCATATAGTCGTTTATGAAAATAAAAAAAACCTGACTTGCGAGCGACATACATTTCAAAGTATGGGAGTTATGTTTGCATATTGGCTTTTTATGTAAACCAGCTGCCGAGTATCTGAAAAAAGGTAAAGGATTAACAACTCTCAAGTTTATAAGTTTGTAATAGCTTTATTCATGTACTAAAACTATAAATTACGAAATTTTGGACTAATTGTTAACAAAAGTAACTAGTTTTTGCCTCACAAATTCCATGATTCTGGGTCAACGGAATCATATCCTACATCATATCGTACTGATATCATAAATGTGAAAGTTTGGATGTTTGTGTGTCAATCACATAAAAAAAGGCTTAGCGAATTTAAATAAAACTTTGGAAACAGATTGTTTATATTCTAAAATAACAATGTGTACTTTTCATTTGGGTATTTCCGCGGGAATGAGAATTACACGGGTAAAACCGCAGAGCGCTGCTAGTACGACTATAAAACGACCCTATTCCTTTTTTTTATTCGAGGAAGTTACGGAACCCTAAAAACAGTTACGGTATTGATTCACATTAGTAAATAAATACAAAAAAATTAATAAAACGACATTTACCTACCTACAACAATAACGTAAATGAGGTAGGTATATACAAATCTAAATAAATAAAAAAAATATGATCAAAGATGCAATATTATGGCGACAACCCTGCGGCTGGTTTACGTTTAGTGTAAGTAATAAAAAGTTTGACTTACAATTTTCGCTTTTTATCCGCTTTCTTTTGCTGCGTCTTTATGTTATTTCTTTTCCTGGCTTTATCAGTGTCAACATTTTTAACAGTTGAGTCCATTTTAAGTTATATTAACTAATTAAAATGAATTTAAATCACAGAGATACGTCGAGTCACTCATGAATAGACACACTAATGGCCGCCATTAAAGCCGAATGGATTGATTTGATTGGACGATTTCGACATATTGGTTTCTGTTATGAATTAGTCTAGGGACGTAATGTATTTTGAAAGGAAACTATGTTTTTTCTCCTGATTTTCACACCAATTAAGTAGACATATTTGATTTTGTAAAATTTCAGAATGTTTAGTTTTTAATTAACTACAAATTCATATAAAAATGTAAATATATGTCTATAGTGGACATATTGACTTTTGATATTTATCAACTCATATATATATATTTTTTATATATATATATATATATATATATATATATATATATATGTAATTTGATTTGATTATTTTTTGTAAGTATGCTACGTGATACTTACGATAAAAAATAAGTAGGTGGTAGGACTCGTTTGTCTAGGATTCCGCCTTCTTACCACCACTATCTTGAATACTTCTGCCAACGGAACCATAGCCTGCACTGCTGTGTTCCAGTCTGAAAGATGTGAAGATTCAGTTAAATTAGAGTTAATAACGCATCTGTGCCTTTCTTTGTCTGAAGTTGGTTGCAGGTATCCATAAGCTCCAGTTGCCATATTGTTCGCTTCAGTTTTATAAATAGAATCTTGTGATACATAATGTATCCAAAATGTTTAATATGTGGTAGAGTCACGCTGCAGCTACATTAGTTATGGCACGAATGGGTCGGCTCGACTAGGGTAGGACCATGCTGTGGGAGCATATAATACCATCGTAGACAGCAGCTTAAGGCTGCCGTATTTCGTTTTGTAGGTGAGTGTAGAAAACCGGAGACCCTTTTTACTGTAAATGAGTCATTCCTTCTTAGTCCTCAGGGGTTAATACCCCTTTTAATTCTTATTCAGGATAAATATATGTGGGATGGAACGCAGCGTAATGAAGTGATCTGGAAGGAACGGAGCGAATGACGAATGAGTAAAAGAATGATAGTGAGTGAGTAAGTGAGAATGATAAAAAAGCAGGATGGAGGAAAGGACGCTTGTAAAGACGCGCACGCAAAATTAATTAAATTTAATAAAGAGTGTTTTCAAGGTATTTCTGTTTTTACTGCATGGTCAACACCACATTTTTGGGGGCTCGTCCGGGATCTGTGTAGTAAAATCCTCAGAAGACAGTGTACGAGTTTTAGGCGAAATATAGGCAGTGGCAAAGACAGGGCGGCATTTTGGTGAAATTATTACAAGACGACGAAACAAAGACGAGTACCTACACCAAGATGAGCAAAGACGGAAAAGAGCGCAGAAAAAGTCGTCAGAATGATTTCGTAAACCGTAACATTATACCTAAATATTAAAAGGAAACACGAAATCAAGTAAATTATATCTCAGTAAATACAAGCCGCAAGTCTGCAACATTTAAGAAATGACGTCATTTAGAAAAATACTATTGAGGGGCAAAGAGATAGGCTTATTATACCTAATATAAAACTGTTTAAAATATAAGCCGCGGTCTCCTTTTATTAGTAAGGAACCATTCTAGTAGAATGGTTCCTCAATCATTTTTATACTATATTTATTAGATTAAAATGTACTTTCTAATGGGGAGCCTAGGCATCTATCACATATAAATAAAATTTAAGTATCTATCTATTCTATATATTATTTGCAGGCTGTTAAGATGTAAAAAATTTTATTTTAACATAAAACATAAACACTCACGCCTGTCACCCAGAGGGGTAGGCAGAGACTACAGACTTCCATTTAGCACGATCCTGACATAACTTTCTCGCCTCTTCCACATCCATATACTTACGCATACATGCTCGTCGGTTAAGGGTACTCCTAATTTGGCCCATTTTTAGTATATCGCCAATTTGGTTGCCAAACTTCCGCCTAGGACGTCCCTTTCCGACTCTTCCATTCACTTCTGCAACATATATTTGCTTTGTCAGTCTTTCCGCATTCATTCTTTCTACATGACCAAACCACCGAAGCATTTCTTTCTTAATCCTGGTCACCGCATCATCTTGCAAACCACACTCTTCTTTTATCACACAGTTTCTCACCCTGTCACTCAGATTCAGCCCTAACATACTCCTTAGCGACCGCATTTCTACTGCATTTATTCTACTCTCGTGCTTCTTTTGCCACACCCAACTTTCACTACCATATGTTAAAGTAGGGACTAATACAGCACTGTGAATTGCCATACGTGCCTTTTTTGACACATTCTGACTTTTCACAATAGAGTTTTCTATATTTCCTGCATTCACTCGTCGTTCAATATCCTTATCATATCTACCATCCCTGCTGAATACATATCCCAAATATACGAACTCATCCACTTGCTCAATTAACTCTCCTTCTATTCTTATTTTACATACCGTTTTGCTTTCATCTCTTTCAAAAACCATCACTTTCGTCTTACTTGCATTCACTTTCATTTATTTTTTGTCCGGAATAATCTTCGGAATGGTTTCGAAATGGCTGAACCATTTGTAATGTAACTTTACGAACACATAGACAGCAATCACAGGAGTAATCTGGGATATATGGCCGGAAAAAATGTAGTTTAAAAAAAAAAGAAAAGTTGATAAATATCTTTGACTATGTTCAATACAATTAACGCTACATTAATAAATTCTACCCTAGTGGATCCGGGGCGGAACGGTAGTAATAAATAAATATAGAGCACTATTTATTATATATACCAAGCAAATACCAGTGCCAAGCAAGAAATTTCATTAGCTTACGAGTAATTTATCCACCTTCGATAGGAGTGGTGTCACCGTTGAAGGCTGAAATAAATTGCTTTGTCATCTGTAACGAGGCTTCTTGTGCTACTTTCCTATAACGAATTACGAAAAACTTAAACCCATCTATCAACCATCCTATCTTATTATTATTACAATCTTTCAAAGTTTTGAGTAGAATTAGGTTCCTCTAACCGAATAGGGAATGTAAAAAATATATTTTTCCTCTTTTTTCTGTAATATCACCTTAGTGAGCACATTTTAAATACGAGCATACCGTCTACCTGAGATAAGTGGATGCTGTGGCTCATAGCTACTATCTTAAAACAAAAATTTAGACCCGTTTTCACCACTGAGGACATAGGTTCCTCTTTACTAATAAGCATCTCCGGTTCTCTACATTTACGATAATAAACACAGCAGCAATAATCTACTGTTTCACGCTGGTATTCTAACAATTAAAACGATTCAATATTCCTTTGCCTTTCATTGCATATACCACATTAAACACATTGCTTAGTAGTTAAGGAAAACATTGTAAATAAACTTTGCATACAATTACCATCATAGCCTATCAAAAGTCCACTTCTTAACATATACCTCTCCTATATATTGCCTCGTAGGGGAATATATGCCATAGTTGCCACACCTGGCAAACGGGTTGGCAACCGAAGTCTTTTTTCAGTCAGCTTTTATCAGGAAGATGCTGCTGCCCATCTCCTGGCTGTCTCCCTCTGTCGCCTCTTACGACACCCACGGGATGATGTGGGGTAGTGGATACTCTTTCACAGCTACTACGTGGTAAATAAATCTTCATGTCAAAGTAATTAAAATATTTAGAAGACAGATCGTGATGTTCGTCAACTTGCAACGAAACAGTGCGGAGGTCTAATTGTTTCATAGCCCTCTAAGAATTTAGTCTAGTTAGGTCGTGTCTCCGAAAAGGAGGGACGTATTTAGCTGCAATTTTACTATATAGTACTAGAGTATTCTAGAAACTCTAGTGCAATATTGTTACACACTACACTGCACGCTTTAAGATGTTTACAATTTATAAGGAACAATTTTACTAGAGAAAGCCTATTGAAAAACTTTCAAAGCGTCAACTTATTAGGTAAAAGGTACTTACAAATTAGGGTCATCTTTTAATAGTAAAATAGTGTAATAACCCTTGAGGGTTAAAAGCACCCTTAGTTTTACTATTCATGCACAAACATGTCTCGTAAATCTCGCAACGACCGTATCGACGTCGCAAACCGAAATGGCGCAGTTATGGTTTTTACTCAGAATTTTGCTCGTTTCACGACTCGATCATAAATCAATTTGTTTGTAATTAGTATTTTTATGTTTCTTTTTTTACTTGAAATTTAAAAAAAGGATACTTATTAGTGGCACTGCATCTTTCGTAAGAGATATGCGGGGGAAAACACGACAAATACCGGATTGTAACACAGGACACGCGAATAGTCAAGTACTGATCATTAGGCCATTAATAACCGAGTTACCTAACATAAATGGCTATATTTATATCCTGCATAGTTAACGCCATTTTGTGTCATAAGCATAAGTATTGACAGTTGTTTTCGTATCGTCATCGTCAAATACAATGTTGGTCATTGTATTTTAAATTAATGTATTTTTACTACTTTTTATTACCAAAATGTTTTATTAACTTGCTTTTATGTATGTCTGTTCAGGTTGAATTTAGTAATTGTTTTTAAACTATTTGCGTCGTTGTTCATGGGAGGTATATTGCCAGAGTTGCCACGCTTGGCGTGCGGGTTGGCAACCGCAGTTTTTTTGTTGTACAGTTGCTGCTATCAGTAAGATGCTGCTGCCCATCTCCTGCCTGTCTCCCTCTGTCGCCTCTTACGACACCCACGGGAAGATATGGGGTAGTGGATATTCCTAACCGCCACTACACGATAACATATACTTGACCAGGCAATATATAGCGCACGCATCATCAGGACTGACGAGAAAATCCTGGAGCTGGAAGAAGAGATAGACAAGTTGCGCTGGACCACCCTATACTTCGCCTTCCGGTACGAGGTTGCCACTCGAGAACTTTTCTTCCCCACTTCAGATTACTAATTTGTTGGGCTAAGTTATTTACTCTAGATCTACTGCGGATATCCTCATTTCTAAGTTTTATCACGCAGAGAAACCCCAAGCATAGCCCACTTCATATCTCGCTGAGCGACCTTAAGCTTCCTCA